ATTAATATGTTGATCTAGATACATAGATTTTGATAATAGACTTAAAAAATGATACCCGTGTCTCGGCATTTTTTCAGATCACGTCATTTTTTTGTGCGATCCAATAAAATGTATTCGGCACATAATATAACAGATTCGATAACAGCTGGACAGTATATTTTTATGAAAAATTTATTCACTGAAATGGACAACCATTAAGATTATTTATTTATTTTAAAATTATTTTAATTATATACAGGGTGTTGCACATTTACGAAATACGGTAATGCGTGTTTCACGTTCGTGGTCCATTGAGAGTTTCTGAGGAACGGCAAAAGATATCGATTTGAAATTTGTAAAGCGTTTATTATCCAATTAGGCCTATTTTTCTAAAATATTTTAAACAAAATGCCACTTCCGGCTTGACCGAAAGTGACATCAACTATGTTATTTTAAATGGAACACCCCATATATTTTTACATTTTTAAATTCTACATAAAATTTTGAGCCGGTCAAACCGGAAGTTGCATTTTGTTCAAATTATTTAAAAAATATACTAAATATAAAGGCTTTTAATTTTCAAATCTATATTTTTTCCGTTCTCCAGAAACTTCCAATGGACCACGAATATGAAACACCCTGTATATCAAGTGGTGTTTTTAGGGTGTGATACCACTATAGATTCGAAAGCAATAAATAATCGTCAAACTAAAAGATCAAGATTTGTTTCCAACATATATTTACTATTAGATAAATACAAATCTGTTGTTTTATTTAAAAAAAATCAAAAATTAAAACCAGCAATATTTTTTTTACTTAAAAAAAATAAAATTGTTATTTTCTTTAAGTATAATATGTAAAAACATAAAATATTTGAAGAAAAAAATGATTTATAACAAAATAGAGACTAAAAATCTGAAAAATCTGTTTAGGTTAAAATAATTAGAATGGCTGTAAAATTAAATGACGTGAAACGGTGAGACACGGGTACGTTTTTTTAACATTTATTTTTAAATTTTGTTAAAATTTTTCAGAAGGAAAATCGTGTTTAACTGTGTAATATATGCATAAAATATATTATTCTTATAAAACTATTATGTAATAGACATATTATTTTTATTAAAGGGGATCCCATTCGAATAATGTATAATTGCAATTTAAAAAATATATATATTTTTATGATTACTATACAATAATTGATACTTTAAAATGTTAAATAACAAATTTAACTTTGCCTGCCTAAAAGTAGATATTAAACGATTTAAAATGATTAGTTTTTATGTTTAAGTTACAAGCTTGCTTAAAAATATATTCACTATTAAAATTTTTATTCATGGAAATTGTTCTTTAAATATAAGTATAAGTGCAATTTGTAGATTAAAAACTTCAGGATACAATTTTAAAAAAATCATGCTTTAATTTTTTTTTAAATAAATGACTAATAATTATAAGTATGTGCGGTTTTGCTGGTTTTTATAGTAAAAATTGTATACCCTAATAAATACGGTGCTGTTCTAAAAAGTTATTTTCAGTCTTTGTTATATTGTTATTTATTTATGATGTAACTAAGAATTTAAGTGCAAAATAAAAAAATCCACAGTTTTTTTAATTGGATTTTTATTAAATATATTATGCACTCTTTTAAATATCCAGTTAAAGTTTTTGAATTTATTTATATATAGTTAAATATTAAATATTATCTAATTTGCTTCAAAAATGGTTTTTCTACTTTTTTATATAACCGCTTTTTACAATAGGTGATTTAAGTTTTAATTTAACCCTTAAAAGTATACATTTGTTTCCTTTATTAAAAATTTGGGTGTATTTATAAGACATTAAAAAAATATTTTAATTGATGAATTGAGGCAAATGTTAATAAAGCAAAATTAGGTATTTAAGACCGTTGTAATTTACCTATTAAGATAAACCTCCTAAACTGCATCTTTTAATATATATCTATAGGTGCAGTTTTACTCACTGCGTAAAAAATGTCCCAACATAACAAATATATGGATTAAAAATCAACACAGTAAACAGTAAATGATCAATTAAAAAAAAATGCATTTATTTGAAACGGGTTTTCTTGTACGAAGTAAAATTTTCGTATTTGTATTAACTTCTCGTTTACTATAATACTATAACAGTATAATAATTATTTTGTTGAAAATCACAAGTTTCCTTAAAACAACTTAGGTATTGCTGTGATTTATTGTAAAGATATATTTATTTAAAGCTATTAATTAAATTGTTTAAATCTAAGTTATTTGAATTTAGTTTTTATAAATGTTTAATACAAGCATATTTGATTTTAACAAAATCATAACATTAAATAAATATAATTAATATGATATGTTTAAAAAATATTTACTTACTACTACTACTTTACTAAGTAAATGTTTCGTTTAAATTTACTTTACCTTTTAAAACTTATTATAATAAAGGATTTATTATATAAGCCAGGCTAAATTTATTAAAACAATACATTACTTTTCCCTATATACGAGACATTCTTTTACACATCGTACACCTATTTTGACTTCAGGGTTTGGATTCGCATGAAAATTTTTTTACCGCTTCTATTCAGTAAATAAGCAGATACATGTATCAGGTTTTCTGTAAAAAATTTGTTTTTTTCAGAGATATGTTGATATAAAGTTTTTATGAATTGCGATAAAACGATGAATTCTCTTCTACATAAAACCCATTATCTCCGGTTCTACTGATCGGATCGATTTTGTTTTTTTTTTTGTTTTAAACCTTATTGAATAGGCTTTTCAAATAAATAAATTAAATTATTGTTTTTTAAGTATAGGGAGTTAATAACAGATTAATTTTTTAAACTAGTTTTTCATGTTTGCCCCCTCTATAAAATAAAAGGAAAAAAATACTATTTTATGCGCTTTTTCTTTATCTACAAAATACATTTTTCAGAACACTGAAGACTCTTTTGGATCGGAAGATATTAAACATTTTCGAGCGCGTGACAGGACTGTCAAGCGCGTAATATTCAAACGTATTAGTGCATGTGGCGGGTGACGTGATATTTTGTATAAGAGTGCCATGATTCGACATCTTTTAATTGGTGACTTATTTGTGCAAATGTCAATTCTGCCAGTTAATAAATTTACTCATTAATTGGAGTTTGTATTATTTAAAATTTAATTTATTTAAAATTATTGAAAACCTTTAAAATCAGAATTAATTTACAAAAAGCGCTGGTATTTTTTTAAGACGATGTATGAGTTTTCACTATCCTAAATGTGTTAGCGTTTCGAAGATGTCTGATTAGGGGGTGTCCATTAATTACGTGAGTCAATTTTAGCGATTTTTTGACCCCCTCCCCCCTTGCTGAGATGTCGTGAGATTTGGCTCAACCCCCTCCCCCTAATCTCACGTGCGATTTTAAAAAATGCTTATTTTTAATGTTTATACGTTAAACTGATGCTTGATTCTGTTGGATTTATTAAAAAAACATACTTTGTTAAAAATTACGTGATATTTGCCGAGACCCCCCCTCTTCCTTACGTGAGAATTGATGAGATTTGGCTTGACCCCCTCCCTCCCCTAAACGCCTCACGTAATTAATGGATGCCCCCTTACGGCTTGTACCGGTCACGCGCTCGAAAATATTTAATATCTTCCGATCCAAAAAAGTCTCAATTTTTCTGAAAAATTCATTTTGTAGAGCTAAATAGTGCATAGAACAGTATTTTTTTAATTTTTTTTCATAGAGGGGGCAAACACAAAAAATCTGTTTATACAAAAAAAATATTTTTTTCATAATAAACAAAACACAAACGTTTTAAATATTTATCTAAAAAGACTATGTAATACTTTGTTAAAAATTACGTGATATTTGCCGAGACCCCCCCTCTTCCTTACGTGAGAATTGATGAGATTTGGCTTGACCCCCTCCCTCCCCTAAACGCCTCACGTAATTAATGGATGCCCCCTTACGGCTTGTACCGGTCACGAGCTCGAAAATATTTAATATCTTCCGATCCAAAAAAGTCTCAATTTTTCTGAAAAATTCATTTTGTAGAGTAATAAATAGTGCATAGAACAGTATTTTTTTAATTTTTTTTCATAGAGGGGGCAAACACAAAAAATCTGTTTATACAAAAAAAATATTTTTTTCATAATAAACAAAACACAAACTTTTTAAATATTTATCTAAAAAGACTATGTAATATGGTTTAAAATAAAAAAAAAATGAAATCGATCCGATCAGTAGAACCGGAGATAATGAATTATAAGTACAAAAGAATTCAGCATTTTTTCAAATTTTATCAAAAGTTTAAATCAATATATCTTTGGAAAAATAAATTTTCTGCAAAAATTCCGATATAGGGGTCGGCTAAATTTATGAAAAGATGCTGTAAAAAAAAATTAAGTCATTTTAAAAATTTGAAAAAATATGTTTTCTGTAATCCGTACGATATGTAAAAGAATGTCTTATACATAAAAAATTACAAAAGGCTCTGGATGGTCTTTTAATGGCAATGGAAGTCTTAAATTATTAAAAAATATTAACTACCTGAGAAGCTTATGTTTTTAAACTATGTGTTTAAATATGTGTTTTGGTAATAAAAATTAACAATATTTTGACCAATTAAATCTTGGTTACATCATAAATAAATAGAATATCACAAAAAAAGTTTTACTGACTTAATTAAATTAAATAACCCCACTTTTTTTATCGAAAATTGATACTGCACATTTTCTGAGTATTTCACATTATATAACGTTTACGTTAAGTGTCAGCAAGTAAGAATTTTTAATAAATTTTTTTTAATATAGGCCATGAAGCGATCTGAGCGAATTTTATCAATGGTAACCAGCAATGACAAATATTTATTAGACCTGCCAAAATATGAGTCTACTAAAGGTACGACAATAGATCAGCAGGCAGATGCTATTAAATTTTATAATGATAAAAAAAAATAAATACTGCTGTAATAGAAGAACAAACAAATGAGGAAAATTTTGAAAATTTTAAAAAAGTTTCTGTGCAATTTAGTATGCAAAGTCTAGATTTAAATGACAAAACTAACGAAAGTGACCTTAAAGATCCATATTGTTCCCCAGAATTGCCAAAATATGAATCTACTAAAGGTACCACAAATGAGCAGCAGGCAAACGCTATTAAATTTTTAAATTTTCAAAAAAATATAATTAATACTGTTCTTATAAATAAACAAAAAGAAGGCAAAGAACTTGAAAATTATGAAGAATTAAATACGCAAAGTCTGGTTTTAAATGATCTGGAAAGTGATTTTGAAGAACCATTTTGTTCTTCAGGAAGTGAATACATCCCAGAAACTGATTCTGAAGAATCGGAAGAGGATAAAGGCACTAGTAATATAAAATTAAATCGAAATATAAAAGTTGCAAATCAATTGGTCCGTCGACGTCAACAGGTAACTTTTTTTATATCTGTAAAACTGAACTTTTTTATTTCGTTATTATTAGATACAAGTACTGTCCAATTCACTATTTTGAAAATATTTTAACAAAAAAAGTCAATTAAATATTGTATTCATTAAACAAAAAAACCTTCCCTGTACGTTTTTTATGTTCTAGAACTTTTTTTTAAGTAGATTGACCCCGATTATTTATGTATACGTTTAAAATATTATGTACTTTGCAGATAATTTACAACCCCAAAATAATATTGATGGAACCCTTTTATGATTTGGGAAATTTGTAAAAACATCTCCTGTCAAAATAGAGGAATTCAAAAACTATAGACACTGGACAAAAAAATCCTCATGTCCTTATTGTTTTCAAGACGTCACACACTTTTCACGACACTTAAAGCGTAACCACAGAAGAAGGTGCCGTTAAAGAGTTATTTGCTATGTCCCATGCACAAAGATCCAAAGCGGAAAGATATTTTAAATGCCATACGTCGGCAAGGAAATTTTGCAACCACTTCAAATACAAATTATATTCGTCTGATTAGAAGACCGAAATATGTTTCGGACAGTGAACCAACCGAAAATTTAAAAAAATTGAAGGAAGAATATGTGGCATGTAAAGATTGCTTGGGTTATTTTAAAAGAAATTATTTAAGGCGTCATCGTAGAAAATACAGTACATTAAGGCCCAGCTTAGAATTATCAGAACGAGAACCACATCTCTCAACAGCTCAGCTGTTTTCAATATGTTCTGGAGTACACAACAATTGCGACTTTACGTTTAAAAAATGAGGTATTCCCGATAATGAGAAATGATGCTATTTCAAATCAGGCAATAAACGATATACTGGTTTGTTGTTATGCAGAAAACTTATTAAAAAAACATAAACGAACACAAATAAAAAATGTCATATCAAACAAGATGAGGGAATTGGGGCGTTTATTATTATGCTTAAAAAACACTACTGGTCTTCAAAAACTATTTGATTTTTTGAAACCACAATTTTTTGACAATTTTGTTGCTGCAACAAAAGTTATTAGTGGGTACGATCCCGAAACGTATTCTTTTAAATCATCCAGTTTACCACTGCACATGGGAACTTCCCTTAAGCAAGTTTGTGATGTAGCCACTAAAATGGTTATAAAAAAAGTCCCCTGTTTCCTTGTGAAAACCAGGAACAAACTCTAAAAGAAATTAAATTATTAAAAAAATTAATAGAGACCAGTTGGAATTGTGAAATTTCTAGTTTGGCATTAAAAAATCTTAATGAACGACAATATCAGGAAACAAAATTGTTACCTCTCACAGAAGATGTGATGAAATTTCAAAATTTTTTAAATGAAGCATCAAAAGAAGCTTGTGCAGCATTACAGGGAAACCGTCAAATCAAATTAAATTATAGAAGATTATCCGAATGTGTTTTATCCTTGACATTACTCCTAAATAGAAAACGCATTGGGGAAATTCAGTACCTTAAACTGGATAGATATAGTCAAACCGTTCCTCAAAATCAGCAAGAGGAATTTCTTAGTTCTTTATCAGAAACTGAAAAAATGTTTTCAAAAACATTTAAACGAATTGTGACTGAAGGAAAAGGCAGCAAACCTATAGCCATTTTATTTCCTACATATATCCAAAAGTTTATTGAGGTTTTATTGAGTGTTAGAAACCAATGTGTTGATGATAGTAACGAATATTTATTTGCCAATCCTAATACCAAAAATAAACACTTAAGTGAATATCATACCGTAAAGAAATTAGCTCAGGAAGCAGATGTGCAAGATACGGCCCTTTTTACTTCAACGCGTTTAAGGAACAGATTGCAACTATATTACAAGTTTTAAATTTAACTGAAGATGAAATGGAACAGTTTTCAAATTTTATGGGACACACACGCAAAACCCATGAGACATATTACAGGTAAACAAAGTTTTATTTATTTTTAATTTTTTCAGATACACTGCGCGTCAAAATTAATGCATAATAAGTAAAAACTATAAAACGCCTTTACCAATCTTTATAAAATTTTGGATAAAAATACTTTACTTTAACTTATATCTTAGTTTACGTGTTCAAGGGTTTTTCGAAAAATATCCTTAAAGCCCTTTTATTTAATAATAAAAAAACAATTAAAAAAAAAACTTTTATAGGGAATTTTTTTAGTAAATAAAAAATGGGCTGTAAAATACCGTATTTTTGTAAGTATACCCTGAAAATGTTGTACAAATCAAACGAACAGTATACTATTCAGCAAAATAATCAAAAAGGGGTCATTTTTACCGACTTTGAAGCGCTGTATCTTCGTTATTGTTCGTTTGATTTGTACAAAATTTTTAGGGTATTGTAACAGGGAGAAAGTTCGAAAAAAACCGTTAAAATAATTCTGGGAAAAACAAGAAATTGAGAGTTTCTTAGAAAAGTTTAGAAAGCTTTAACATGTGCAAAAGAAGCAATTTTGAAAAGGATTTTAAATGTAAAGTCAAAAACAAAATTATATGGTCGTGTTGAAAGAAAATTCCCCTCGAGGCCATAAAGCCATAAATCCATATTGCAGACTATCTGTATTTTGCTAAAGCCGCCAAACATATGGCAGCAACACTTTTTTTAAACGAAGCATTTTAAGAACTAGATGAAACGCGTTAAAAATATAATGAAATTAATATAATTAAAGAAAGTAACGAATTGATTCAGTTGAAAACTAAACTTAGAAAAATGGAGATGATAGATTAGAAATAGGAGATTATAGACTAGAAATAAGACGTAAGATTAGGTAGATTGTATTGTGAATATGAAAGCGTGGCTGCTTATTAAAAGATAAGTCTCGATCAGCCAATATAAATTAAGGGTAGATGGATAAAAATCCTAAGCATGGTTTGAACCAAGGAAATGCCCAATAAAATCAAACTCAGTTAATGTGATTTAATAACCAGATATAAAAACAGTCGATTCAATCATTAGGCAACCTTGGTTACTTTTAAATCATCGTAAGATATTATCAAATCTAGTAAATTATAGTTTATCTTGAAGTTGGCGACAATGGCGAAAACTCCGCCCAATGCCTAGTAAAATTCCCACCTTGTTTGTTCCCGACCTTTCACATAGCCGAGTTTCCGACTTAAGTCAAAGGGTAACGCCTCCTCCCTTAAGAATTACTGAATCGCTTAGATTAAAACCAATAACCTTTCGCCCTTTTCGGTTGGTATGAGATTTTATGACCTTTTGAACCAGTCAATTTTCTATGACCCTTGCGGGGGGGGGAGTTGCCACGATTTTGACCAATGGTCTTTAAGAATTAATCCCTTCCAATTTTTTCGTAAATTAGTCTATAAAAAACCAACACGACCTTTGAATCGTCAGTTCTTATCTAAATTTTATCGCGCTTCCCACATCGGTCGTAGATCCTCGCCATCTTCATTTGATTCAGTGTAAGGTATTTATAGTAATTATTATATTTCAAACCAACTTGTTTATATTAGATTCACTCCGAATAGTTTTGTTTAATTATAGTTACTTACTCTTTCGAGTAACTCGCACTGCGCATTTGCTTAGTTAATTATTTGTTACATTTCCTTTTAGTTTACTTTTAGTTAAATTTCTTGATCTAGAGTTCTAATTTGTTTTGTAAACTGGTTCTTGTAAATTGAATCTCTGGAGTAACTTTAATTATCTCTGTTTAATTTTTATTTAACTTAATTTTACTTGTTTATATCTTTTCATTTTATTGTTAACTGTTTATTTGTTAATATATTTATATGGTTTGAAATATCGCTTTATTGCTCTGTCTGTTGTATAAGAAATACCCTGAATCAAGTTAAGTCGAAAGTAAGTATATAGTGAACGGTAATCGTGTAGAAGTTTTCCTCGCGGTTCGCGAGTGAGTTAAGTGTGTCAATATACATATAGGATTCCTTCGCCTTCGACTCGTCTCACCGACATCCTCCAGCCGAAGCCACGACGATCTTCACCGGATTAAAAGGTCAGATTAGATTAGTAATTTGTAACGGGTTCCATACACCCAAAAGCTCCCGTAGGCCAACCAAAGAATAGGTAGTAAAAGTATAGCAACCACAAGCACGCGACACAAAAACCCCCGTTACAAACTGGTGTCAGATGTGTCTCCAAAATTTTTCAAAACAAATTTCTCTTGCATTATTATTAATTATTTGATTGTATATAGGTGTTTATAGAATTAAATATTAATGTTATTTTTTTTCATACATTTAAACATATTAATAAAATAGATTAAATAGAAACACCTGGTACAAGTGCGTAGTTTTCGTAGTTCTAAATTCTCATAATAAGGGCTGATTTACTTAATAAATAAGTTTATTCGTTTTTATTTTTGAGATACCGTCATAAATAAAGTAATAAAATTTGTCGAAAAAGCAGGTACTTTAGTTAAGAAAAGAGATTAAAAAGAAGCGTGTAAAAGAGTCGGTGATAGGAGTAATAATCGTAAAAGTACCTGACTTTAAATTAGTTAAAAAACGTAATCTTATGACAGAAAAAAGGGGCTCAAATTAACAAATGCGGATAAATTATAGATAAATCTCCGGCAAATAATTAAGTCACTTAGTAATTTTTGTCGTTATTATTTTTGTAAATCAATTTCAATAAACTGTTTAAGAAATTAGATAATTTATTGGAATTATTTGCATTAACTTAGAGTGTTTGTGTGAAAGTGCTATTGTTGATTCAACCTAAGCAATGCATTTTTATCACAAAAAGTAATTAGGAGACAGACACATGATTGTAATTTTATTGCAGGTGCAGCAGTGGACCTGGCGGCTGTAAAACGAATATTATAAAATTTGTGTATAACCTTGAGAAATCTGTCTGTTTCAGGAATTATTTAATTACGAGTTTAATTAATCTAATAATTTTTATTTTTTAACATTTGACTTTGTACATTTTAGTATTAGTTTGTCTGTCTCCCTAATTAAGGATAGGTCTAGGTTGTTAGGTAATTTTTTTCTTGTAATTAAGGTACTTAGGTTGTACTGGTAATCCATCTTTTTGTTAAAACGTATACGTCTCCCAAATAGTAGGATAAAAAAGTGTAGAAAAGAAATCTAATTACGTGGTGCTTCGTTAATTAGATTTGGATCTCGATTTTCACCGCAAAAAAGTCGTACACAACGGAGACCTGTGACGCGAGTGGGTCGCACAGGGACCACTAGACAGAAATATTATTTCTTGTGCCAATTAGGTCGTTTTATATCTTCACCGAAATATTTCCATAAACGCGATACTTCTAATTTATAGCTATTGTCCCATAATTTCCTTGAATTTTTCTTTCATTAGACCAATTCGTTAGTTTTGTTTGGTAATTACTCATTAATTAATATTATATTAATATATCCAAGATGAATAATACAGGAAACCAAGAACCATCTGAAGATTTAAATTCAACGAATTCAAATTTAAATCAAAGTAATCTACCAAATAATGTTAATATGGAACATCTTTCATATATAGTTCAAAAATTAACACTAGGTTCAACTTTGAGTTTGGTGGACGAATATAAAGGAGGACCAGATTACGACCACTTTGTTAATACAATGAAACAAATAGGCGAACAAAATAAGTGGTCAGACAAGGAAATTATAAGAGCTATGGAATATAAATTAAAAGATACAGCAAAATCGTACTATTTTGCGCTTAGAGACGAGGACAAACCAGCATCGGTAGAAGGTATAAGAAAATGGTTAAAGAGCGTGTTCGGTAAAAGGACTAATTTTCAAAAAGCCAAGATGGAGCTTGCAACTTCTAAAAGAAAACCGGACGAAACCTTAGGTGCGTTCGCACAAAGGTTAAAAATGACAGCCAATAATATCTTTCCCAAGGAAATCACGAATGAACAGAGAATTTACAGAGATGCACTAATTGCAGAACAATTTGTAAACGGGTTAGACACACGTTTAACCAACGAGATTTTAGCGGTGGGTGTTTTTCTCAAGCTAGAAGACGCCCTTGAAGTAGCACAAAAGAAAGAAAACATTGTAGACAGGCTAAAACTTAGCCAGCCAGAGGATCTGGACGTGGTAGCCACAATACGAGCATTACTCGTAGACAAGGAAAATTGCACAGGAAATAATATTGAAACAAAGGATTCAACTAATAATAAAGACTGTAGGGAAATTGTAAGATACAACAAAAATCGCCGTAACTACGATAGCGAAGAGGACGATAATTATAATCACAACCGTAGACGTGATAGTAGAGATCACGGTTACGACAGAAATACCCGCTTTGATAGATATAGCAGTCGTGATCAAAGTTATGGGAGCAACGAGCGTAATAGGAGTCGCGAGAGAAGCGGCCGAGAGCAAAGCCAAGAAAGGTATGCCCGCGAGCGTAGCAACAGCAGGGGCGGCCGTGATCGTAGTTACGATAGGAACAATCGCGGTTATGATAGAAGTAATTTCGATCGTGGTGTTGCAAGTGGAAGCCGGGATTTCAATTATGACAGGAGTGACCGCGATTTTGTTTACGAAAGGAATTCCCAACGATCGAATTTTGAAAATAATAGCCCAAGAAGAAACGATTATCGAAACAACCCGCAGAGAAGACAACCGCTACCAAAATTTAAATACATGACTAACAGGTGTATAAAATGCGGTATTTATGGACATTGGAGACATCAATGTAGAAACAATAAAATAAGATTTTGTTTTAACTGCGGCAGCCGTAGGCACCTGTTCGATGATTGTTCTTTAAACTGGACCTTAGCCTCGTTGACAATAAGAAGATAACACTAACGATTTTAAAATTAAACCCAGAAAATTCCAAATACGTTGTACTGTACATAGATAAACAACAATCGACGTGGCTTTTAGACACG